TCGTATCTGATTTTGTAACTTAGAATGTCGTCAGCACAAATTAAATTTGCATATTTGGAGAACTTAATGGAAGAACAAGTGTCATTTAAATGTATGAAATTTAAAAGTTTCTCGTCTTTGTTACTTCGCTCAACTTTTATGTTAAGTATATTTATGAAGACACAATTCATGAAATGCTTGGAGGTATATTTATTTGACCCTAACTGTTATAAGGAAGGATTTTTAATAATTTTTTTTTATCTAGAATATATTTGTTTTTATGGAGAATTTTTAATGCTTTTCAACGAAATAAAAAAAAATGAGCTACCTCAATTTGGGACAGATTGGCTTTCTATTTTTTGTAGCCTTAGTACGAAAACAGTCGAAAAGTATCTCAGAAGCAGCGTGAGCTAAACATTACCCGTGTTTATATCGTTTTAATTGGCGAGAATTTGTTAATTTCGATTTAAAAAAGAATTCTTTTAATTAGCGCAGATTTTAATCAAAATGTTATGTCATTTCGTTACATCTAAAAGCATGTTGAAGACTGAATAAAAGTATTTTTCTTAGTTTTGACGAAAAATTTCTATAGTTGTTGAATCACAAAAATTATTTTAAAAGTTTTAAAAGAAAAAAAATGGCATTTCTTTCATTTATTTGAATTTAGAAGACAAGAGAACTCCTGTTTAAAGATCCAGGTCATATAGTCATCTTTGTGAATATTTTAAGCGAAGTTAATCAGTATTTGTGCAAAATGAAGGTAAAAACCACGAAATAAACCTTTTATGGTTATCTCGATGGAGCTCTGATCTGTCTTTACCAAAGTATAACTTACATCAGGTACGCAATCTCTGTTTGCAGGGAGAAAAATTACATTTAACTATCTATTTCTGTGATTTGTTCATATGTAGGCTTAATTTCCTATAAATAAACCATGTTAATTTCTATGAAGAAGTTGCTATTAATTTTGTCAAATATCTAAGATTTACGCTTGATATTTTAAGTGTGCGCACACATCTCATAGATTGTTGTTGATTCCCTTGTTATTTTCAATTTAAAAATAATATTCCGAAAAAAAAATTTTCGGTTGTAAAATATTACTTTTATTTTATATTATTTGAACAGCAGACCCACTTTGGGTTTACGACTACCAATGTTTTAACTACGTAGCCTTGTAATTTTGAACCCAATCCAGAAGACACGGAAACTCCTGGATCAAATATTGGGAGAAATTGGGGGACTTTTTAATGGAACTAACCCGTATGAAAAACTCCCACTGTTAGCCTGACAGCAAGGGGACTCTAACCCATGATCCGTCTGCAACTGAGGATATTTTACATCGGCACTGTGGTCGGTGCGAGCCGTGTGCGGAATTCGTATCGACCAGTCATCGCTGGGATTCGACCCCGGTTCACCTCATTGGAAGGCGAACGCTCTATCCCTTGAGCCATCAGGGCTCATATTGCTAATAAAGTTAATTGATGCTGTTTTAAAACTATAAAGCAAATGTTTTTGTTCACGAACTGGTGCCATGATGGATGAACTAAAAATATTCCGCACGAGTAAAATTTCCAACTAAGTTTTCGGTTTTAAAAATAAACATGGAAAAAGTTAGAGCTTAGAAAACAATAACCATACGAATAGTTACTTTGTTTTTTGTTGATTCAGTTTTTTTATTCAGTGTTTAATTCCCTATATTTAATTCAATCGGGTGAGTTGTTTTTATTAAATCAGTTCAACCGGTTTGAAAATGTTTGATTCAAGTTTTTCCTAATCTCGTTCGCGTATTTAAATTGCGTTACGCTAGTTTACATTACTATTTCTTAATTAATTTTTTGAAAATAAGTTTAATATTTAGGAAAAAAAATTCTCGAAATCTTAAACTATTGGTTTCATAAATAAAAAATAATCCATTTTTTATTTTTGCACTCTTTAACACCATCGTTACGCATTTATTTTCAAAACATTCTATTTACAAAAATGATCGCTTTCCAAAATGTATTGCGTTATCTTTGATGTATGATTGTAACTCCAAACGATTATTTAACCGAAATTATTTTAGCATTTTCCATGTTTTTCGAACAATTCGAAAACTAAAAGCTTCGTCTCAATTTCATAGTCCTAGAAAATATGATGGAAAGGATATTGTCTCGCAACATGACCACTGCAGTATATTTTACAATCTCAAACATTTTGACATGTTTACGATTCTGCAGTTAGTTTATTGTGAACCTTCGCTTCGAATTAGCTCATCAATTTTGCATCCTCCATAAATTGGAAAAATTATGTTTCTATTATTTTGTCACTTCCTGTAACGATGCAATACGGTTCAAATCAATATATAAGAATTTATGACAATGCATCCTATTCGTAAATTTCAAAAACCGAAAAATAAAAGTTATAAAAATGTAACTATTAGTTTTAAGGCTGTTTCGAATCATGGTTGAAGTAATGGAAAATTCTAGAATCACATTGTTCGTGTTCGAAGTAAAAAAAAAGTAACGGTCAATTAAATAAAATGAAATATTATTCCTGAATAAATAAAATATTAATAATTTTATATGGTTTTCAAATTTATATGTATTTTAATTTGTATTACGCCGCTGTCTAGCAAACGATTCGTAATTAACATGGGCTGCATTCATCATCAATCGTTTTATAGCAAAATTAAAAGAATAACGTTTTCTTTAAAAAAAATTGTTTCATGTTTATACTATCGACATTCTCTCGAAATAAAAAAAAAGTAACGGTCAATTAAATAAAATGAAATATTATTCATTAATAAATTAAATATTAATAATTTTATATGGTTTTCAAATTTATATGTATTTCAGTTTGTATTACGCCGCTGTCTAACAAACGATTCGTAATTAACATGGGCTGCATTCATCATCAATCGTTTTATAGCAAAATTAAAAGATTAACGTTTTCTTTTAAAAAAATTGTTTCATGTTTATACTATCGACATTCTCTCGAAATAAAAAAAAAAGTAACGGTCAATTAAATAAAATGAAATATTATTCCTGAATAAATAAAATATTAATAATTTTATATGATTTTCAAATTTATCTGTATTTTAGTTTGTATTACGCAGCTGTCTAACAAATGATTCGTAATTAACATGGGCTGCATTCATCATCAATCGTTTTATAGCAAAATTAAAAGAATAACGTTTTCTTTAAAAAAATTGTTTCATGTTTATACTATCGACATTCTCTCGAAATAAAAAAAAAAGTAACGGTCAATTAAATAAAATGAAATATTATTCATGAATAAATAAAATATTAATCATTTTATATGGTTTTCAAATTTATGTGTATTTTTGCGTTTGTGTTACATCGCGTTCTAACAAACGATTCGTAATTAACATAGGCTGCATTCATCATCAATCATTTTATAACAAAATTTAAAAATATCGTTCTCTTTAAAAAAAATTGCTTTATGCTCAAAATGTTTATACTATAGACATTCTACCAAATCTTCTTTACAATTTAATTAAAGCGAAATACAATTTACCAAAAAACAACTTTACAACAGAAGCGTTTGTGGTAAATCTGCATTATTTTCATGGTAATCGTGTCCTTCATTTTTATAGTATTCGTTATTTTAATGGTAGTAAAATGTGCGCTATTTTTAGAGTAATAATTGTTCAAGTACGAAAGAAAAGATAACGATCACTAAGATAAAATGAAATATTAATGATGAATAAATAAAACAAAATATTTATCGCAAATAGTGGGGCCGTAGACACAATTTTAATAATGAGGCTGTTCAAATTTATATGTATTTTTTGCATGCAATAATAAAGCTTTGCTCACTAATAAACAATTATAAATTTGTAACTAACATTCATCATCATTCATTTTATGACAAAATAGACCAAAAATATTTTTTAACTATTGGAAAAAATCACTAAGGAGCGAAAAATATTTCAACGCCCCCTTTGTGAAAATCCAGTTATTTAGAGGGAGGTGTGCTGAATTATAAGAGATAACATTAAACAATTTTTAAGCGAATTAATTAAGCTATTATTTTTTAAGCAATTTTTCAGTGAGTTAAATTTGTTTGGTTTTTTAAAAAAGTAATGTGTACATTAACTCAATACTTTTCTCACGGCTGATAATTGCAGTCTATTTTTAGTAATTAAAATAAATGCGTTTAATGAAAAAAAATACAACAAAGAAACCTATGCTTAAAAAGAATCATTTATTCTGAATTAAATGATTGAAAAAACATCCAAAATAATTTTTTACACTAAAAAGTAATATCAACGACACATTTAAATAACTACGACAGTGATATGATTGCACTCAAGGGTTCCGAGCCAGTTTCTTAACGTTCGTTTCAATACTTTATGTGAGGCTGAATCCACGTTCGACAAGGTAGGAGGAAGGGAAGGCATTTAAAAATGTTTTAACGATAGTTCAGGTTAGGGGCGAATCATGTTACCTTGAAGCCAAATTTCTGTGAGACTATCACCATTTCAAAGTTTCCTTAATTGAAAGTTCGACTAATTCCTCATAAATCTGAACCTCTGCTGTTTCAATAATCACAAAAGGGTTCATAACCCAATATCCCATTGAGGGACTTCCATGGAACAAAACAGCTTTAAAACGGTCAGAATAGTCTATGTGCAAGGAGTTAAAGTGTTCACAATATTCCTGTGCACCATCAGAGCGAATTTCGCCTGCTTGGCTGAACTCATTCCAACCAAAATTCTGCTTCCACAAAATTAGTTTTTTTAGAAAGTCAGAAATAACTGATTTTGTAGGGATCAAATTGAGCTCATCGCCTTGAAGTTGTAAATTAATGGCATTAAATTTTACAAATAAATCCGCCAAAGTCTTCCTTAAATTCTAGCAATCTGTCTCTCAGAGCTACATCTCTGTTTTCGAGGAATTCAAGCACAGAGTCGAAAAGATTCCAAAACCTATTGAGACAGGCGTCTTTGGAAAGTCAGAGAATCTCGGTGTGCAGTAGCAAGCGATTGAATTCTTCATCATACCCAACGGTCTGAATAATCAATCGTTGAGAACATTACTGTGAATTTTGTTCACAGCAGATATGACACATTGCAATGACTGATGCAAACGGTCGCTGAGATTTTTTCCTTCTAAATGCTGTCTGTGAAGCACGCAGTAAACAGCTAAAATATCTGGTATTTCCCTTTTCAAAAGGGCTATAAACACACGATGTCGACCCATTGCATTAGCTCCATCAGTGGCAATCGACATAATATTTGCTGGAGGAATGTTTTTCTCTGTAAAATAATCTTTGGCAGTATCAAAAATAGATTTACCTTTGGTATCTACAATCAAGTTTCTTGCAAAAAGCATATCTTGAATGATTTTTTCTACCTTTACAAACCGGACCTACGCTCACAGTAAAACCTACATTACATGGCAAGGTTGATTCATCAACTTGAAGGGAAAATTCGTTGGATATCAAAAGTTTGCATAAGGAAACTTCAACGTCTTCAGCCATCTCATCATTTCGTCGCCGCACTGTATCGTTGCTTAATGGAATATTTGATTACATTGGATGCTGCAAAACAGTTTCTAAAACTTCCTTGACAACCGTTAGTATCAACTCGATGGTATGAGCTTTCCCAGGTTTAGCAATAAATTTTGATATATTATAAAAAGATATCAAACCATTTTTGCGATGAGGTTGCTAGTAACCCTGAGACTGAAGGTGCCTTCAGAAACTTGTCCTTGATGTTCGTGAAAAATGGCAAAACTTTATTTTGTTTGTCACAATAAGTTTTTTGCAAATGCTCCTACTAACGGGAAGATTTCATTGTCTCATTAGGTAAAACTTTGTCAGAAAGTAAACACATGGGCAGTTGAGAGTTCAACAGCGATTGAACAAATCCAAACTTCAAGTACGTGGTACGGTATTGATGTACGGTATTGTACACCCCCGTTGAGAAAAAATGCTGTAACTGAAACGTATTTGAGAAAATAAATTAATAATAAAGAGTTATAAGCATATTTTTGTTTTTGATTAGACGCGGCAGTGAATTAATGAGTCTACATTTGAATTGAAATAAACAGTTAGCCGTTACATTGATCGATAAGAAAAGAATAAAACATTTTATGTTCGCTTTAAAAGATTAACTCTTTGATTTAATTGAAATTTAATTCGATTAATAAAATAAGTTTAAGTAATTAAAGATATTTTAAAAGGTAGGAAATATATGTAATGCCAATTGTGACATCACAGGTTCTTTTCATAAATGTTTATTTGATACCATCTTTTTCGTAAGAGTTTAAGCAGAATTCGGAATCAGATATGCCCGCAACTGTCAATTCTAATGAGTTTGACATGGATTGACATGATTGGAGCATAAGTGATGTTTCTGTATTTGAATGCGGTTTATTGAAATTCTGGAAAAAAAATAACATGCTACTTTCATTTTTTTTTTCCTTTGAGAAAATAATTCATGAAACGCGATGAGGCAATTTTTAACACGAATTTCTCGATAAATATAAATGAAGTTTGATTCATTTCATATTATTTTAAAGTAATTAACTCATTTAGATGTGTAATCAGCTTCTGTGATACAGTTGATATTGAGGGTAAGTGATAATTTTACTAAAAATTTTTGTTAATATAGTCGGATCCCGCTATAGTGAACCATCCACAAGCCCAGCAATAAATCCAATATAAACGACAGTTCACTATATCCAACTCATATACTGCACTGAATACTGAAAAAATGTTTGTGACTCATATACCAAGGCCGTAGCCAGGATATTTTTTCGGGGGGGGGGTATGGTAAGAAGCAAGGACGGTTTCAGACATGCAAAGTAGGGGGAAAACATTGTAACAAATATTGTTTATTCTGTTGTTTGCAAAAGTTAAACTAGTAATTAAAAAATATTACATAATAATTATTTTTCAATTAATATTACATAATAATTGCAATTAATATTACATAATAATTATGTAATATTACATATTAATCAATTTGCAAACAAAGTTTACAAAGACATGCGACGGGGATTTGAAGAAACTTTTTCAATTACTTTTTTAGGGCAAACCAGAATATCCCGAAATATGCTTAATAAAGTTAGCCCTGTTAGCCTTTCTTCTTTAGTAGCATTTCTTGTTGCTGTTTTTACTCGTTTAAGAGTAGAAAAAGTTCTTTCTGCATTTGCTGTGGTGATTGGAAACGTAGCTAATATTGATAACAAGCAATAAATGTTTGGGAAAAAGATACTGTCACATTCTTCCATTGCTGAAAGTGCCGTATCTGGTCTACTAAGGGATTCACGCATGTTCCACTTTGATGCCCATACTTCCATTTCTCCCATGAGGTTTTCGATGTCAATGAAATCTGCGTAGATTCGGAAATTGCATAAATTAATATCAAACGTTCACACAATACTTAGGTAACACTTTATTGAGAGATGGAAGAGTATCTTCGTGTTTTGAAAATCTTTCAATCAGTTGGGCAGTGAAATAATCTAAAAAAGGGATGTATATATTTTGACGGAAGTACTGCTCTGGGTCTGTGTTCTGATTTTTTATATTGCCACGATTATTTTGATAGGATGCCAATGTAGGAAGTTTTACATCTAGATCCAAACTTGTGAAAGTATTAAGGAGTTTCGAATATAGCTTTTGAAATTCATACTCGGCATTTTTTCTTTTGTTTAGAACTGTGTTGTTTATTGATTTTACATGTATTAAAGCTCCATTCAAATCTAGATGAATTTGTTGGAGTGCTTTGCTCAGTGGGAGAGTCACAGAAAAAATATCTCTACAAACAAGTAAAGTAATGTAAAACTCACTTTTAGTGATAGTAGAAATAAAAATTGTCCGCTTTAGAAGAAGCATCGCAGTTTCCAGAAGCCTTTACTTCTTCGAGAAGTTGAATTATTTCTGGATAAAGTTCTTTAAATCTAATGATTGCATCATGGTTTTCTATCCATCTTGTTTCGTAAAAAGATATTATTTTTTTGAATTTTTCGTTCGGCAAGTTCGTTTTGATGATGTCCTCTAAAATTTGTGCTCTTTTGGCAGACGATTCGATGAATTTTGTTATTGTTTTAACTGTGCCGACACAGTTTCTAATAGCTTGAATTCTACAAGAGTGACTAATTGCTAAATTCAAAGAGTGTGAGGAGCAATGTACATATATAGCTGTTGGGTGTAATTCTTTGATGGCTGCTTGAACACCGTTGAAGTCCCCTCGCATTGCAGATGCTCCGTCGTAGCCTTATCCGACAATTTTTGAAACATTAACTCCTAAATTTCTTAATGATTTTAAAATAACACTAGCTATTCCGCGTCCAGATGAGTCAAAAATTGGAACAAATTGGAGAAAGTCTTCTCTGACAATTGGCACATCACCTCTCACATCGATGTACCTTGCACAAAATGTCAACTGCTCAGTTTGAGTTATGTCCATAGTTTCGTCTGCAAGAATAGCAAAACAGCTTGCTTTATTGATTCTATCAACAATTGTCTCTTGGATAATGCTACCACAAATCTCTATTAATTCATTTTGAATGGATGGACTGATGTACATTGCATTACCACCACATTGGTTAATATGATTTTTCAAAGTTTCATCCCCAGATTTAGCTCTCAATCTCAGTTATGCCCGGAAATTTCCATCATTTATTATGGGCTCATCACTATCTAAGTTTAAGGGTCCACTGTCTTTAGTTCCTCTTAAAGCCAATTCCTGCCTCCCACAAAATATTAAGGTTTCGACAATTGGGACAAGTCTCTCTCTATTTTCTTCTGCTTTATTTTTGGCACATGAATTTATTTGCAGTTCAATACTTTCAGTTTTTCCTTCGAAAATGTTTACAAAATTTTCCGCCTTAACGGTGCTCATCTTGTGGTATTCTGCTATAGTATGGGACCTAAAAATTTCGTGTGCGTCTTTCCACCGCCGAAAACCAGAATTCGCTAGAGCAGACAATTTTTGATGGCCCCCTTTGCCACAGGTAGAAGAACCAAACAAAACGCAATATTTACATAGAGCCGCTTCTAACTTTTCAGAATACGTTAACCACTTGTATTCATTCAGCCATTTACGTTGAAAACGTAACTTTCTTTTTCCTTCAGAGGTAGGGAAAATATAGTTAGCTTCAGGAGCATTAGACTTCTTAATCAAATTGTAGACTAGTGTTCGATTCATGTCACTGACATCATTTACGTATAGTCCAAGATCTAAAATATTTGACACCGTTTCAGATGCAGTTTCATTGCGTATTGTATCGCAATTGAGTGAATTGCTAACTGTAAATGAACTAGAGGTGGACTGTTCATTTTCACAATTTCGTTTGGAAGGTAAATAACTTAAAAGCGATGTTTGTTTTGCTCTTTTCATAACGAAGGTAAACGGTGAGTCAGGAACCCAGGGACTTGTATATATCGTCCAAATGGACTTAGCCTGCCAGATAAAGAATAAAAACTTTTACTTTTTACAAGCATTACATGTTGTCTTAGATTTTGAAGTTATTTCTCATCAACTACAGTTCAATGAAATTAAGTTAAAAACATCATACTTATCGTAACAGTTAAATTTTTTTCAATAGCTAATTATATGCCAAGTGTAAAAATAGTAAAACAAGATAGATGTTTATTTCACTAGGCATAGGTAATAAACTAATTGAGCATAAAACATACTATTTTGTTCTCGTACATAATTTTCTTAGGCAAATTAATTACAAAAAGTGAAATTTTAAAGTTTTATTTCATGAAATGTCTTCCTTGAGATATATTTAAATTAAATAAATAAAAATTTTGCTAAATGTTGACATTAAATTTTAATATCACGATTGCTTTATCAAGAATTTGATGCATTCTAATAAGAAGTGTAACAAAAATTTCATACGATTTTGAAAATAGCGAAATAAAGTAAGTCATATGACTTATGGCCTTATTTTGCATGGATTGAATGAAATACTAAAATTTCAGTTGTTTCAAGTGCAATGCAACACGTTTTTTTAAAAAATACAAATTTTTTTGAAAATGTTACTTTATAAAAATGAAACTAATGAATTTAATTTTACCTAAATCAAAAAAATTGGTTATTTATAAAAAAGTTTATTCGAATTCATATTTGCATTGTATGTCTTCTTTTAAAGTTCTGCATAAGAAATCTACAAAATGTTGACTCATCATGGAAACATATTACGTCTATTATATCTAACTCTTAATGAAGTGTACATTGGAGAATTTTTAACTCTTTTTATTCATTAAAATATTTTATTCGTAATAATAGTCATCGCCATTGTAATGGATAAAAATAGAAGACATATGCACAAAAATCTAGGAATTTGTCCTTATAACTTATTTATGAGACAGTTAGTGGTTTTTCTTTAAAATGTAATAAAAATTAAATTTTTTAAATTAAAAACTATTCACATTAACTTTATTTTTACAATGCATCGAAAATAAATAAAACAAAACAAATATTTTTCTTAGCAATTCTGCTATTTCATTTTTTGTGGAATATCATTTATTATCTCATTAAACGAATTTGTTATTTTTGTTACAGTTATAATATACCAATACATTGGTTTGACAAGGTTGAAACTCTTTAAGAACAAATGTTTTTTAATAAGTCAACGGAACAAGAGATACAAGAAATGTCAAAATTGGCTTATGAGCATGTTATTTAAAATGAAATTAGAAGTATTAAGAAATTTTATTTCTATATGATTTCTACAAATTGCTAATGGATGCGAGCCTAATTTCAAAAATCATTTTATCGAAACGAGCCGCATTTAAAACTCTTGTCAAATCAATGTAATGGTAACATTCCTGCTCAAAAAATACTTTGAAATACCCACAAAAATATATCTAGAAATCAACCACATACCTGATTAAATACTCTTAAGTATGGATGAGCTCATATTCGTATGTCAAAAAGATCACCACTATCCTAAAAACAAACGTTCCAGACTGCTATTGCGAAGCTCTATTGTCAATGAGTCAGCATTTGCCTACTCACTGGACGATACCAAATGCTGAAAAACAATTGATTTCGGGGGATTCGAGTCTAACCGAAGGAAAGATGAGCCACAAGGCCAGGTGAAGATGAGGTACTAGCGAAGGTGGTGTACTGGGAAAAGGTTTGATTCTACAGTTTTTGTTTTTCTTTTTACTGAGAGGCTCAAAGAAAGACTAAAAAGTTTGAATCCCAGAATTTCGGGGGGGGGGGATTTGTCCCGACGGTCCCCCCCCCTTGGCTACGGGCCTGTCATATACTGAAAAACTGTTCTTTTTAGTTTGTAGCTGTAGTGTTATCAGAGGCACACGGCACAGCACCCGGGTTTGAGGTAAACAGCGCCCGATAATTAACTCGATTTTTGCGCTCCCTTGCAATGTGATGTAGGACATAAGGCTTTTCGGAAAAGGCCTAAGTTTCAGTTAAAGTTAAACTTAAATCTACAGCACTATTCTATGTTTTTCCTTTCCTTTTTTATTGAATAATATTTTATAGCTTTACATAATGTTAAAACAACGTAACTTGATAACTTTTAAATTTTTTCTCGATTCGGTTTAAAATTTAATAGTGAATGTTACTAATGTAGTTTCGCCAATCATATATCATATACGTCACCAATTTNGACAACCAATATATATTTAAAGAGAGAGAGAGAGAGGGAGACATCCTATTTAATTTTTCGGTAAATGTAATAAAAATATGAAGGAAATATAAAACCAGCAATTCAATTCGAAAATTAAATTGAGCTATTTAATAGAGAAAAAAAATAATTTTACCATGCCCCCGGGGATAGATGTCTCCCCTTGCCCCCCGTTAGATACGCCACTGAGTATTGTTAGAAATAATGACTGTAATAGTACACAACATACTTTAAGAATTATTAAATATACACAGCCTCTCAAAAACATAGTTTCATCATATTTCTTCCTATAACGAAATTTTTAATCGGAATATTCAAAAGTGGTTGTCTCCCAATAACAAATTATTTAGGTATTTGTCTTTTCAGTTTTCGTCATTTTTTTTGAAATCTGTCTTTTTTATTTTCGTCATTTTTGAATGAAGTTGCGTTTAAAAATTGCCTTCGCGGAGGTCTTTTTTCATGGAGTTAAACCGCCTTTGCGTTACATGGAGAGGAAAACCACCAAAACATCCCTCGGTTAGCCTGACTGCAAGGGGACTCTAACCCACAATCCGTCTACCACTGAGAATATTCTACATCAGTACTGTGGTCGGTGCAAACATGGTATTGTTTTGAAACTATAAAGCAAATTTTTTTGTTTACGAACTGGTGCCATCATAGGTGAACTAAAAAAATAACTCACGAGTACAAATGGTCGGTGCCTGAAAATGCCGAAAGTAATGTTAAAAGCCAATAATGTAATTTTTCCTTTTTTCTGTTTTCATAACTTTCTGCAAATTTTACAGCTAATATCTTCCTATTTTCTCACGGATCCAGGTTTTTAACTATTAAAATATCACGGATTTCCGCAATGGGAAAAATATAACTCAAATAAGATTAGTTTAAAAAAAAAAAGCGCTGTTAAGAACAAAAAGACAGCATAATCAAAAAAATGAGCATCTACGCTAAAATGTGAAAATAAGTCATTACAATTATTTGAGGCATGTAAGTAGTAATTAAAATGGACTTTAGACCAGTTTTCTTTTTCTTTTTTTAAGATAAGACGAAAGATTTTTTTATTAAGAACTTTTACTAAAAAAAAGCCTTTAAAACCTTGAAATTGAAATGTCGTTTGAATGAATAAATATCGTTTGAATTTATGTCTAACATTACCATCTGTGTTACGTTACCATTAACATTACCATGTGTGTTATGTTTAACATCACCATTATGTTCTACTGGGAACTGTGTCTTCATGATCAGATCAGTCCACTGCGGGACTCTAAGTTAATTAAAGGACATAGACCAGAAGGGATTATATTTTAATGAATTCGATGTGCGGCACGCCATTGTATTTAATTAATTTTGCGTTAATTAACATTCGAAATTTTGTGGAGAAACTTATCTCGAAATTAACACGCCGTCTTGTTTACAAGCCATCAGATGGCGCTGAAGTCACAGCAGGTCTCATTTCCGTGTAGCAGCGATTATTTTTTTCACGTGTTGCTAGTACCCAAATGTTTTCATCAATGAAATTTTGCATTTTCGATATTCTTTTTAACCACAAAATGCCAGATGTGATTGTTCATAAACCATCCTTTAAAAATGTGTAAACTGCAACAAAAATAATAATAACAATAATAATGATAATAATAATCAAATCGGTATCTCCCGCTCTCGAGTCATAGCGAACATACATCCAGACAGACTTTTGCTTTTATATGTAAAGACATATATTTAGAAGTTCTGTCTTGTATTATTCTCTTTGTAGTCAGCATTTTTATTTTATAGACAACCAACCTATTCCATACATTTATCCACAATTCTTTTTTTCATTTAGAAAGTTGGTAAGATTTTGATAATTAATGATGTTAATTTTAAAAAGATGCTTAGCTGATGCCTGATTTGATGACTGTTAAAAAAACGCTTCGAAGCCTTTAATTATCATGTTGACTGTCACGCCAGTCATCACTAAAAGCAAAAAAAAGAAACAAAGAAATGGCAATACATAGACGTTGGAAAGAAATCTAATGAAAAAGTATTTTCATTTTCCATGCCTATTATTTGAGCATCTGGTTATTTCAGTAAGAAAAGTTATGGAATATGCTCTAGCAGGTGTTATTCTATATAATTTAAGTTTTCTTTTTAAAATTCAAATCCTCTTCTTTCTTTTATTAATTTCTTCTGAAATCGGTGCTTTTATTTCTCTAACAGTTACCACATCTGTTTAAGGCATGTGATATCAAAGGAAAATACGTCTAAAATGTTTTAAAAAGTGGCAATAATATTTACAGTTAATACTTTTCTTGGAAAGAAATCTAAAGAAAAAGTATTCTCATTTTTCTGTTTCTATTATTTGAACATCTGGTACTTGTTTTCATTTAAAAGAAAAAAATGAACATGCGTTAGTGGGTGTTACTCTAAATCATTTCAGGTTTCTTTTTAGATTCATTCCTCTTTTTTTTATTTTATTGACTTCTTCTGAAATCGTTTTTATTTCGCAAACAGATACCACCAAAATAACAATTCAATACAACGAATCTGCCAGCGTGGAAATCACGAAAAATGGTCTCTTGAGCGATTTGAGCGCGTGGCTTATCATTATATTAATTAATATTCTATTTATAATACAATTCTATTTATAATACATACATCCTATTAATTAATAGATTAATGACTACTGTTCGGCAAATAAGAAATGAGCTCTGGATCTCCACCTTATTTAGAGCTTATTAATATGGCAGCCCGTATCAAAGTTCTTTTAACGTTAATTGCACAAAGATAATGATATTTATTAAAAATATAAAAAACAGTCAATTGTATACTATTTAAATAACTCTCTAAAACTGCTGATTAATTGTATTGGTATCATTTTGACATAAAATATTAATACAAAATTTAAAGTACTGAGCCCTTTATATCGCCAATGTTAGCATATTATATCGCCAAAATCGTACGAAGATGGCTTTTTAAGTAAGGAGCGTTTGAAAATAAAACCAAACGAAAGAAAATTTTCAAGAAGCAATTTTATTGTCAAATTCTACATACGTTTATCTTTTTTTTTTTTTAGCATAGTTGTAAGTTTGTTTAAACACTTATCATACCTTACGACTAGATTTAGAATACCCTCTTCATACAAACTTGCCAGCTGTTCCGTTAACCAAGAGGTGAAGCCCGTTTTCACGTATTCATCATCGTTGGTGTTATTGCTGCCAAAATGATGTTCGAAATATCGGAAAAGATGAAAATAGCTCTGCAGAATCTCTCAAGATCTGGGCTGTAGGAAGGGGTGGTCCAAAACTTCCCGACCAAAAAATTCCAATAAAGCTGGGATCTGAGCTGCAGAGAGAGTCATTGTCATAGAGTAGCAAAACTCCCTGTCAGCATGTCAAGGAATTTTACTACTTCGCAAATCGTAACTTCACAAATATGCCAGTGAATGTATGCAGCAGACAGGTAAAATATCGACTAAAAACGCTTCACTGACCATATCTCGTGTGGCGGGCGATTTGTCAAATTTGAACATTTTAAAGACACAGAACTGACCGTACAGTTTGCCTACACAGTTGCAACTGAGCACAGTTGTTTCCAAGAAGTGTCTGGACAAGACACAAGCATTCGTTGCGACGCACGCGTCACCTATTGGTGTACAAACGCGTCATCTATTAGTGTACAAACAATCCTCGTATTTTACTTGCATTGAAAAGTACTGCCAAATACAATAAATATCCACAGACAGCATATTTGAGAAAATTAATTAGAGAAAATTAAAAGTACAACATTAATAATATTTTAATATATAAAATTGCAGGAATACCTTTTTTTATAAATCTCACTTAATATTAATTTTAATTATTTAATTAATTAATTTATCTTTTTAAATTTTTCAATGAGACTTAAATTTTTTTAACTTTTTTTTCTTTTTGCTGTTTCAAAAAAAAAGTTCTAGGTTCGAATTTTTTATGTAATTTTTTATTTTATTTCACTACATTTAAAAAGGCTCATCCTCAATCCATTTGTATATTAAGCTAGAGCTTGTCGAGAGTTATAGAGCTTGTCGAGATTTCAGTGCAAAAACAACTTTAAACTTTGTTTGTTGGGAATAAAAAAAAAAAAATTTCTATGGGGATTAAATCACTATTTGGAATTTAAATTTCCAATTTAATATTGGCAAAAAAATCCTTCTCATGTAGTATTTTTTTTATTTATATTTTTGATATTTACATTTATTATGTCTGTTTCCATTATATTTAAAACGTGAAAATAACTGCACAATAAGCCTATATCTCATTATAGTTGTTTTTTTAACGTTTGAAATTTTAATAAACTCTTGGAATTATGAATCACCGTTAAACTACAATGAAAATTATAACTTAACGTAAATGTATTTTTTAAAAATGTTTAATAACATATTATTAAAAAGTCATCATTGTTGGGCAATGATTATAAATAATTTTATTCAGAAATTGCTCTCGACAGAAGTAACTTAGCGTGTATGATTTTCAATGACAGTTTTGAAACATCACAAGAAGAATCGTGACTTCTGAGAATTTAGGCTTAACTTGTGGGTTTTTTTGTCGATTGCGTCAATTTAAAAACATTGATTAGTTAGATGAATAGTATTTTTGTACAACAATCGTAATTAGCTACAGCAGAGCTTAAAACAGAGAATAGAAAATATATTTCATTTTTATTTTGTAAAAAATTTGTTTTTACCTATTTTTCCATCGTTAAAACAATTTAAACTTTAAACTTCCGCATTGGTTTTTAATGATCGAAATAAAAACGGAAATATTTCGTCTTTCCTTGATTGTAAATTGTGCGTTTTAAATCTTGAAAAAGAGGAAAAGAAGAAAAAAAGCAAAAAGGAAGAAAATCACGCTTTTCAAAATCTCTAATAAGATGCACAGAAAAATCTCTAAGAAACTAAGGCTTTTTATCAACTATATATGCTAATACCAGATGCATAAACAAGCATTTTTAAGAAAATGAAATGAAAACAATTAAAAAAAAGTCTTCTTTCAATGTTTGTTGATTTTATAGAAATAAAAAGAAAAAAAACTTAAAAACAACGTAAAGTTTAAAACAGGCTAAATTATCAATGGAACCAAGGCGTACAAATATTTGCATGCCATAAATCAGGGCTGTCCAACTGGAAAGATCCCACGGGCCAGAATTCCGGTCACTGATCACCTGGTGGGCCACAGTTTGAAAAAGTTGAACAATAACCTCTTACAATACAATAACAATTAATAGTTGAATTATTAATTATAAAACAATGGAACAGAAGTATTATAAAACAATTTGTTTACATTTTAACGGGAAAACAGAGACCGATCAGCCTGAATAAGAAGTTGGCGGGCCACACAATGTGTGTTGGAGGGCTACATGCGGCCCGTAGGCCGTCAGTTGGGCAGCCCTGCCGTAAATGGAACTATCTCCGCTCTTTAACCAGCTTTAATCTCTCCTCTTTGTTAGTATAACGTTTATAAACAAATTTAAATGATTTTTTTCTATTTTATGTAATTAATCTTGCTTTTTCATCATAACTAGAGTTCAAAAGCCAATCCAATTTTAAACTTAAAACTACCAATGATCAACTCCGTAGCCTTGTAATATTGAACCAAACTCAGAAGACAAGAGAATTCTTGGATCAAGCATTGGGACAAACTAGCCTTCGTGGAGTACTTTTTGATTGAACCATTCCACCTTTGAGTTACATGATGAGAACCTTTCATGGTTAGCCCGACGCCAAGTGGATTCTAACCCATGATCCGTCTGTAAATGAGAATATTTTATGCCAGCACTATGTTCGGGGGGGGGGGCTACGAGCAGAATTTGTATCTACCAGGGACTTCATTGGGAGACGAGCGTACGGCGAGTCACCACGTCTCGTAATCAATTTGTTGTAAAAATTACCATTTGCAAATATAATATTTATTATTACTCTTAAATATTACTAGGGGTCAATCAGCCTTGCTCGCCGAAACCCGGAACAGCTTTCGCGATGCAAGCTTTCACCAGATATTAAGACATACCAGCCTATAGCGCGGCTTTGAGGAGATCTCCTCCAGACTAAAAGTCTGGGGATGTCTGCTGCTATGATAACAAGCGAGAGCACATTTCTAATTTGGGTGCAGTGGAAGAATGAAGGAGTCGATTGGTTTACTCATGCTGTCCTATTCGAAGTGACTGTTTCTCGTAACCATGGTACCCGCCACGACGCGAGACTAAGGTCTGGAGGAGTTCTCCTGAAAGCCGCACTTTAATATCCTTGTAATGAACTGAAAAAGTAATACATACAATAGTTAAAATCTTAAAATAAATATCGATATTTCACTTTTAAAAGTTTTGAAACTCGAATATCTAGTATGCAAGTTTATGAATGAACATAGCAAGCCGTAATGAATCTGTATTTGTTTCTTGGATTGCACATATTTCAATCATTTATATTTTATTGGTAGTTATTTTTTAAATGAAAGAAAAGGATTGTAATTCTGCAAGCATTGCAGTTTGGAGAATTTACCCAAATTTCGCTTCGTTCAGGACTGTGTTATAGATCTTAATTTTATAATTTATTTAAATTTTCGTTTTTTTAATGCAATATAGACAATGCTGTCACTAGGAAGAAGCAAATTTTTTTTTTCGGGTCATGTTAGAATATTATAATTTGAATATTGTTTTGTCTGTATTATATATTTTAGGTTCGAATATATTTTATTACTCCTATAACGAATACTAAACAAAGACTTCTAAAGATTCAATTTATATCAACAAGGAATCTTACCTTGTTTCGGCTTCTTGTTCTGCCTTCACCTAGTATTCTCTTCCAAAGGTCTTGGGCTGTAGATAACTAATACACTTAGGCTGAAAAATACTTCGCACAAAACGTTTAAGAATTAAATTTAATAATTAAGCATGATAAAAAAGGGAAAGCTATATACAGATGAAAAGAGTTGTACGTTGCATGACAAATTCTAAGCTATACCACGCTCGTGGAGAAAAAGTTCGTAATTGAATGTTTCTGTATTTGTCCGCTAGGGGGGATCGAGGCATTCTCAACACTCCCCTCCTTGAGTTCAGTAGAGTGACTAACTGAACTCAAAAAAAAAAGTCACAGCATCAGGGTTGAAATCGATCAGGAACACGCACTTGTCTTCCAGCACGAGTTTGCAGAGGCACACACTGAGGTGGAGCTTGCTTCTTTAGTTGTTCAGTCAATTTTTCTTCAGTTGTTTTGTTGACTTCAAGAGGACAAAGTTTTTTCAAAGGACGGATTATGATTCCGGATTTGGTTTGCAACTTAGCAGTTCGGGCATGTCCATCTTTACTTGGCAAAATCTTTAAAATACGCCCGAGAGGCCACTGAATTCTGCTTACATTGTCATTCCAAATTATCACAATGTCCCCAACTTGCAGAGCTTCTGAAGTTTTGGTCTTTGAAGAAGTTTCTCGAAGTTGACCAAGATATTCCGTTCTGAATCTCTTTCGAAGATTTTGACAGATTTCATTTCTGTATGCAAGTCGTTTTTTGAATTTTTCTTGATCTAAAATATCGAAATCTGCAACACCCACCTGTCTTATTTCTTGTAGGAACATCATAGGTGTTATTGGTGATAGCTCCTCCGCATCATCGGACACATAAGTCAGGGGGCGTGAATTCATTACACTCTCACAGTCACAGAGAACTGTTACCATTNGTTACTTTAGAATATTATAATTTGAATATTGTTTTGTCTGTATTATATATTTTAGGTTCGAATATATTTTATTACTCCCATGGTATTTCAACACTGATTTTGTGGAAAGTATAAACTCAAATATTCTGAAATTATTTTTCCATAAATTTAAATTAATGAACATTGTTGCTCTATAAATATTTTCGTCATATTTAAATTTCAAAAAAATCCAAAAATTAATGAAGTAAAAAATCACGATCAGCAATGATCGTTCTACTGCAAATATAAACAAAAATACTTAATAAAACATAAAGTTTCTTGGAAAAATCTTTTTAAGGCCATTATTTTTAATAAACCAGGCTTTTAATTCCAATTTTTGCACATCAATGTTAACCTCGGGTACTTGTGAATTTTCTGTACAATATCTTAGGGATTTTTGAGGTTTAAGTATTACCTTGCATTCTCTATTTTTGTAAGATGAATATTAACATCGAAGAGAACAATTGAGGAATGATTTGCTGTAGAGTTTTTGTAAATTTTGTTGACATATTAATTTTCCTTATCTTCATGTCAATCTCTTATACGAAGGAAAAGAATAGCCTAGCTTTTTTAGAAATACTCCAAAGGAATTTAAATAAATGTTTGCATATAATTAAGAAAAAGTTTTGAAATACTGTGTTGCAACAAATACCTTTCCCTTAGCAATTTACTGAGACTTTGTGGTTAATGAAGTGAACTATGATAACCATTAAGAATTAATAAGTAAAAAAGTCAATAGTTGTGGTTTTCAGAAATCTTTATTCTTCAAAAACTTACACGTGTTTTACTTTTGTTTTAGAAATGACATATAATAACCTTCGAGACGAAGAAAATGTTAAAGTTCATTAGTAGAATAAAACAATATTTGTTTAATTACTTTTACTGCTTTTTTTATTAACTCGCTTTCGTGTGTGTGCTATAGACAAGACAGACTCGAGTTTATTAGCTGAAGGCATTAATCTGACTGGTTCACTGGAAGAAGTCCTTGGTTTCTGTAGCTGGAAGAACTCTTCGGGTTCACAAGCTGGAATAATTTTATGTGCTCATAGGCAGAAAGAGTTCTTCTGTAAGCTGGAAGAATACGTTTAACTCGAGCTCAATAGCTGGGAGAACTCTTCGGCCTCAGCCAGAATAGCTGGAAAAAGTCTTCGATTTTAGTTCAATAGCTGGAACAGCACAGAATCTTCGGGGTTAGGCTTCTAGTTCGGGTTCATTAGCAGGGAGAACTCTTGGATCAGAATAGCTGGAAAATTTCTTTGGGCTTGCTTTGGGCTTCTTTCGATTTATTAAAATTTTCTAACAAAACGAGAATACAAAAAAATTGGTTCAGTAAAATTGTAAAAGTTATAAAGAATAAAAAATTAAGATTTTTATTATTTCTATTGGATCCGTAAATAAAAAAATCTCAATATTTTTTATTTGGTCTTCTTCCTTTGGTTTCTCTTTGGTTCTTTTTTCAAATTTTGGTTCTACCTTCGTAAATGTTGCCTTTATCTAACATATTAAATCTCGTACTCAGGCGCATAATAATCTAATCGATCTGGGGCGGATTCGGATTTAGTCTCCGGACTCTACAAATGAGCCAAAGCTCTAGTCTGTGACAAATGATATAGCGATCAAAATTTTGACTACTTCCCGACTAACTAGTTAGCTCCAACTAAAATTTTTTGCAGTATGAAAATTAAATTTTCAAAGTTTCCTCAGCTCTAAAAAAAAATAAGTACAAGAATTTTTTTTCTTTTTTGCCATATTTTCGATAAAGAAAATTCTCGTCAATCGAAGAAAATGCTCAGATTTCAAGACTTTAATTTCAACTCTGTTTTTGATGTCAATAAAAGTTATAATTGTTTCCTAAAGGGTACTAGCAAATTTTATTTCGAATTCGTAACGTTTAAAAAGTTAAGATATGTTATATCTCTTGCATCGTAAATTAAATATTGCAATCCTATTACTTTGGTCACTTCTCAACTAGATGGGGCACTTAAATTTATGCTAATATTTCGCAAATTGCAAGCTTCAGTCATTTTTTGATAAGCAGAATGAGTGTTTCATTTTGTTTCATCGTCAATAAAAATTTCTGCCACTTTTTAACTAAATTTTATTTCTTTTTATTATTTTTTATTTTCGCTAGAACTCTATGTGTGGAGAAAATTCAAGTCTCAATAGTTTCCTGATCATTACAAACCGAGTTAGTCGCTATAGTATTTCATGTTATCCCCAAACAGAAAAATTATAATATTACTACTTTTCGCTTAGCTAGTGTGATTGAATTTCAGCTGGAGCTCTATGTTGCATAACAAGAAAAACGAAAATAAAAAACAATCGTTTTCTGATCGATCGAAGATTTTTTCCAGCCATATTATCGACTAATGGAATTTATCGTGAGTCGAAAGTTTGCCTACTTTCCGCCGAATCATAATACTCGAATTTCAAATGATATCTATTTGATGATCAATAAAAGTTTCATCTTATTTTTTAAATAGTACAAACAAAGTATGTCACAATTTTAGTGATAATCAAAATTTCTAGCATTTTTCGACGAAAAATTAGACACAAAACTAAAAAGAAGAAAAAAATTTTTAATATTACTTTTTTTCAATTAAACTAAAAAGGAGAATATTATCTCAGACTTTAAACGAAAAACGTTTACAAACGTTAAAAACCCAAACATTTGCTGTCTCCTCAATGATCTTCAATGTAAAGAGAAAAGTTTTTGCATTTCGGCCAGATTATTGAACTAATTAAGCACTAAGCTGTAGATATTGTTCTTCAATACATATTTTTTGTCGTTCTTAAAAGTTAATTTTCTTTTAACTAGTTGAATAAACTATTATAAAACAGACAAGCTGTGTTTCGTGTTTTTCAATCCATAATATTTTATTTGGCATTGAAAAACTCAAATGTCCTAGGATTCTACATCACGAAACGATAAGGTCACGCTATCCACATAAAATAATTCTTTCCTAAAAATACTATATATGTCAAATCCATAAAAAAATCTAGACAAAATGTATGTTTTGGTGAAATTTTCTCTTATAATGACACTCTATAGAATTTTCTACGATATTTCTGTATCGAATGGGTTTTTAAAATATGTTTGTTTTGTACAGGAGTCGGTATATGGGTTATATGATGTTGTAATTCGTGACAATTCGTTAAATAATGAATTGGAATGTGTTTTTGTAAATCAGAGATTTCCAAATAATTTCGTCAACATATAATAAATAAATAAATAATAAATATATAAATAAATATAAATAAATAATAAATATATAAATAGATAAAAGGAATGAATAAAAAATAGGAGATACACGTAGTATCCAAAAAGTTTCCAACGATTTGAAAAAGAAGTTAGAAAAGAAAAACAGAAAACGTTTAAGTTTGCAGCACTCTACTTAAGAATCGTGATTTTATTCTTACTTAGCAAACCGCACTAGCATTTTATTATTATGTTCTGTATATTTTATAACCGTTGTTGAACAGCCGACCCAATTTTTAGGTTTGCGACTACTAATGTTCAACTCCGTAGCCTTGTAATTTTGAACCCAATCCAGAAGACAAGGAAACTCCTGGATCAGTACCCCCAGAGGTTTTGATTTGTTATGAGAACATGGAGGACTTTGCGACTCGACAGATTTAACGTGCATCAGTCACCATTTACTACACGGGGAGTCTTCGGCCGGCGGGGATCGAACCCACGAACTCAGCGCCCTACCGTCCAGACTATTTTATTTTTATAACCGTCTTTGAACAGCCGACCCAATTTTTGGGTTTACGACTACTAATGTTCAACTCCGCTGCCTTGTAATTTTGAACCCAATCCAAAAGACAAGCGAACTCCTGGATCAAGTGCATCGACCACAGTGCTGACGTGAAATATCCTCAGTGGAAGACGGATGATGGGTTAGAGTCCCCTTGCCGTCAGGCTAACCGTGGGAGGTTCGCGTGGTCTTCCTCTCCATGTAACGCAAATGTGAGTTAGTTCCATCAAAACGTCCTCCGCGAAGGCAAATTTCTTCCAATACTAGATCCAGGAGTTCTGGATTGGGTTCAAAATTACAAGGCTACGAAGTTGAACATTAGTAGTCGTAAACCCAAAAATTGGGTTGGTTGTTCAACGACGGTAATAAAAAAAAATCCCCATTTCCACTATATAATCACACTATATACATAAAAAAACAATTGTCTATATGGAAACAATGATTTTTTTAAAGAAAAAGTTTTTTTTATGCCGTTTAATTTTATTTTTTTACGACGCTACATTTATTTTTGAAAATAAATAAAAGATGAATTTTATCGAAGAGTCAGAAAATAACACTTATTATATACATAGAAAAACTAAATTAATAATTAAAAATCAAGCTTTGATAACAAGATTTCAGCATTTAAAAACTATGCGCATAACTAAGTGAACGCAGAAACTGAAGTCTAAGAAAAAGAATTTTCGGTACATTTTTGAGAAAAAAAAAATTAGGGAGAAAATTAGTTATATTGCTGTCCACAAACCCCGGGGCTCGAATTTACTCTTAGTGGTCATGGTCTTGGGTCATTAAAGGACTTTATTTTTAAAATTGCTTGTTTTTAAAATCATTCAGCCATGCCTGAACTATTTTTTTCGTGAGAGAAGACTCGAAAATAATTTATCTTGTATTTTTTTCTCCCTTCCTTAGCAGTCGAATCCAAGAATTCATTTCATGCCACAGAAAGGTTTGAGGGTGTCAGAGCAACAAAGAACTGTTGTCATGCCAACGTGACGTCACTGACATATCTTCTCTTCTGTAGAAAGAGAGGATGCCGGTTTTCGATCAGAACTGCTTGTTGTTGAATTTACACTCTTTATTCCTGATTGTTCCGTTCTTAATCTCCGATAGTTCAACTATATTAATTGGCACTTGTTATAAACAAATTTTAATTTTAAGTGTAATGAACAATTTTGGAAAAATGTTGTGGTAAATATTCTTCTTAAAAGGTAAGCTGTATTGATGACTTTTTTCTATTGATCGATTTTATTTTGTTGATTTGGGTATATAAGTTAATACTGTATTTAATAATTAGAATTATAACTAAATAAACTGTAACATGAAACTTTTGAAGAATAAACTAGTGTTTAACATTATATGAGAGATTTTAATATTATTTTAAGCAATAACATTTTTGCACGTTAATTATTTTTAGTTTGAATATTTCATTAATATTTCTATTGTCAGTCTTATGTATTTCCTAGAATTACAAAAACTCATGACTTAAAATAATTTAATGTAATAGTTTCCGACTATGTAAATTCAGCCACTTTTAAATCAATATAATTTGTATGTTAATTGTTTTTATTTAAAAGTATTTCATCATTATTTCTATAGTCGTTGTTCAATTTACTTATTTCTTAAAATTAATGATCTCTATGGTCGATATAATCGCTACTAATTATAATTCGATATAGTAGTTGGCTATCACATAATTATTAAGTAAATATATATTGTAAGTTAATTTGTATATACATTTTATGTAAATAAGCTGAAATATTTCATACCATTTCTGGAATGAATATTTAATTTATTTCCTAGAATTATTAGACTCGATGGACTTTGAAGAAAGGATTAATTATAGTTTAAAAAAGTTTTTGACCACATGAATTAGGTTGTTAAATTTAGCGTTGTTTAAATTCTTGGGTTCATTCAATTTATCTCCAAAAATAATGAACCATGCATATCGTTCTTTTGAAAACATTAATTCGCAATTCAAGTTACTTTTAAAAATATTCATTTTGCGATTGAGATTGCAAGTTAAACTTCGTTGGAATTTAAAAAATGTTTTTTTAATTGCTGTATACATAGATCTAACTAATACGGTATCTTTTTATGTTATTATTTTATTTATTTTTACCAGAAAAGATAAAAAACAATATTAAATAGAGTTGTTTATGTAACTGTTTCTAGAAAATTTATATGTTAGTAACTCTAAGCCAGAACTTGCGACGTATAATGTTTTATTTTATTAAATTAGTTTTCGGAATGCCTCGGATAAATTTGGTTTCTAAGATTTCCGTTGAGTTTAATCTTAAGCTAAAGCTAGCTTTATAATATAAAAGGCACCGAAAAAAATTTTGCATCAATATTTTATGATCATAATATGTGTTCGTGAAAAAGTATTATTTTATAAACTATTTTCGTAATAAAAGTGTATCTGTTTATTTTCGGGATTTACGATTGCTGTTATGCCAATTTATAAAAAGCTAAATTCGGATATAAAAGTTTTGTTATTAAAAATGGATTTTAACTTAAATGAATTCAAGAGTCATATGACAAAACTTGCTAACCTTTCTCATATGTTACAGCAGCGGTTCCCAATTTCTTTCAGATCCGAAACCCTAAGCAATCGAACTTCTTTTGGCGGAAGCTTGTCAATTAACGAAAGTAAAATCAGAAGTCAGGTGTAAATATGCTAACAAAAAAAAATTAAACTCTTAAATTAATTTAGAGAAATAAAATGGGAAGAATGAATTTTTTTTTCATTGTTTCATCAATAACAATCTTAAAATTAAGTATTATGCTAGGCAGTTGAATTCGCAAATCTACAACAACTTTTAGTTTATTGTTTTTTGGCGAATACATGATATCAAATTGAATAAAACAACTGAATAATGTTTTTTTTTTTTTTTTAAAAAACTTATAAAATGCGAAAATGGTTATTGGAAAAGTAATAAGTAATTCTTGAAGTTGGCTATTTTATTTTCAATTTTAAAATTCTATGAGACAAAGTGATACAATTATTTGTTAATATGTATCCTTTTAGTAATTTTTTTTTATTAGAAAAAAATGTAATTTGGAAAATTTTTGAGAAAATAACCCTAAATATTCATTTTAAAATTTGCTTTATTTTTTTAATGGCATTTTACTTGAATGATTTCATAATAACAACCAAATTATTAAATAAGTAATCGATTATGTTTTAAAACGAACTTATTACAGGTTACAAAAACCATTACTTGCCAAAAATAAAGTAGTAGCTCACGGAACCTTCTAACATTTCCACGGAACCCTAAAGTTCCGCTGAACGTCTTTTGGGAACCGCTGTGCGGGAGGTTCCTTCAACATTCAGATTGCGTTGGATTATAGTTTTGGTAATCAATTAGGTAATATTATAACACCTAAGTTAAGAAAAAACTTTGAACAAATTATTTACTTCTTTTAAAAAATTTTTAATGTTTGAAAAATAAAATTAAAAAGATGTTTTCATAACAGAACAAAACTATGGTTATCAATTAAGTAATTTTCATGAGAAAAAGAAAAGTTTAAAAATCATTATCTTTTTTCTTAGTCCAGAATTTTTAATGAATACATTAAAAATTGAGGGGGCATCGCAATTTTAAACATGGAATTAATGAAGGTATATAGTAGAACAAACTTTTAGTACTTTTGCGCTAAATCATTTAAGTAGCATAATCTATTAACTCTTGAGCTCCAAAATGACATTTTTTTTTTACAATTATTTCTCCAAACAGTTTGGCCTAAGATTAATTAATGAGTTCAATACGTTTCCATCCTTTTTAAACGCTAAATTAGCCTGATCTTTACGATACAACATTACCAAATGAATTTTTATCGACTTTTGAAAATTTTATGAAAGACACACACAAAAAAAGTTTTTAATTTTAAAATTTTCATGTGAATGCAGTTTTTATAAGATGGCTTTCTGACTACTCCCCATAAAGGCCTTGCCTAAATACACCTCTACCCTCAGGCATTCTCATAATCTTTTAACTTTAGAATTGATTTGTGACTCATTTTCATGTCTTTACCTTTGGAGGCCTCTTTCCTCAAATCCGTACTCTGTGTGGACGGAAAATGAATAAAGTAAAATATGCATTTAAAAATTGATATTTTATTTTCACAAATACATTGATAATTGCTTATTTAATCCAGTTCGGAGTATCTTTTTAAACATGTAAAGAAATTGATATTTTATTTTCACAAATAAGTTGAGAATTATTCTTTACTCCACTAGGAGGTATTTTTCGAAACATGTAAAAAATTGGTATTTTATTTTCACAAATAAATTGACAAGTATTTATTTACTCTACTCGGGAGTATCTTTCGAAACATGAGAAAAATTGATAGTATATTTTTACAAATTGATAAATTTAATTTACTCCACAGGGAGTATCTTTCGAAACATGAAAAGAAATTGACATTTTATTTTCACAAATTGAGAACTATTCATTTACTCCACTAGGAGGTATCTTTGGAAACATGCAAAAAATTTGTATTTTATTTTCACAAATAAATTGATAATTGTTGATTTACTCCAGTTGGGAGCATCTTTTTAAACATGTAAAGACATTTATATTTTATTTTTACAAATAAATTGAGAATTATTCTTTACACCAGGAGGTATCTTTCGAAACATGTGAGAAAAATTGATTGTTTATTTTTACAAATTGATAAATTTAGTTTACTCCACAGGGGAGTATCTTTCGAAACATGGAAAGAAATTGACATTTTATTTTTACAAATTGAGAATTATTCATTTACTCCACTAGGAGGTATATTTCGAAACATGTAAAAAATTGTTATTTTATTTTCACAAATAAATTGACAAGTATTTATTTACTCTACTCGGGAGTATCTTTCGAAACATGAGAAAAATTGATCGCTTATTTTTACAAATTGATAAATTTAATTTACTCCACAGGGGAGTGTCTTTCGAAACATGGAAAGAAATTGAATTTTATTTTTACAAATTGAGAATTATTCATTTACTCCACTAGGAGGTATCTTTCGAAACATGTAAAAAATTGGTATTTTATTTTCACAAATAAATTGACAAGAATTTATTTACTCTACTCGGGAGTATCTTTCGAAACATGAGAAAAATTGATCGTTTATTTTTACAAATTGATAAATTTAATTTACTCCTCATCTTTCGAAACATGAAAAGAAATTGACATTTTATTTTTACAAATTGAGACTTATTCATTTACTCCACTAGGAGGTATCTTTCGAAACATGTAAAAAATTGGTATTTTATTTTCACAAATAAATTGATAAATTTAATTTACTCTACTGGGGTGTATCTTTCGAAACATGAGAAAAATTGATCGTTTATTTTTACAAATTGATAAACTTAATTTACTCCACAGGGGAGAGTCTTTCGAAACATGGAAAGAAATTGACATTTTATTTTTACAAATTGAGAATTATTCATTTACTTCACTAGGAGGTATCTTTCGAAACATGTAAAAAATTGGTATTTTATTTTCACAAATAAATTGATAAATTTAATTTACTCTACTGGGGTGCATCTTTCGAAACATGAGAAAAATTGATAGTTTATTTTTACAAATTGATAAATTTAATTTACTCCACTGGGGAGTATCTTTCGAAACATGTGAAAAAATTGACATTTAATTTCCACGCATAAATTGATGATTGTTCATTGATAATATATATATTTTTTATTGATAATTGAAAGATACACGGGAGCATCTTTCGAAACATATAAAACAAAATTATAAGTAGTCGTACAATGAGAATCTGAAAAATATTGCACGCCGTATTTAATAATTTCGATCACTATAGAAATTTTTTTCTTTTTAAGAATTTTAGCCTACAAATTTATACAAAAGCAATTTTTAATCAGCATTTTTAAAAAGGTAGTCTAGTTTTATACTGTTACGCAGTAGAAAAATCAACGTAAGCGACAGAAAATTCTAAATACAGATATTTAAATATTTGGCTTATTTGAATAATAAGCTACACCCTTGCGAATAAAACTAAAAAAAAAAAAAAAAAAGCTTTCAAAAATAATATTTTAGCATTACTAACAAAAAAAGAAGGGGGGGGGAGAGAATATGGATGTGAAATCGCCTTATTCGAAGTACTTAAGTTGTTTTTTGCAATTTCACTGCAATATAAATTTTTGTCGGTTTTTCGATTTTTTAAAAAAAATCTTTCTTTTAATGTAATTTACGTT